TCCAGAGGTTCCTTCCATCCTCAACTGTTGTGTAATTAGAAGGTCGCAACGTGTCCCTTAAGATCAGATCTGTTCCATAGCAGCAATTCATGCCTTGGGACCTTGCAACTGGTACCAAGGAGCCAACAGGCTCTTTGCAACCATTGATTCAAGGTAACTCAGAAGCTGCAGCAGATGCAGCAACTGCATTGCTTGTGTAGCAGTGACTCTTGACGAGAGCTTGTCGTGCACCTTCTTGAGGGTCTGCACAAGACCACGCTTAAGGTAAGGATCAATGTACTAACTTCAGGTAGTGATATTTAAATAACTTGAAGTCTGGGGAGATTTAAGAAGCAACTCTTCTCTTTGTGTGGTGGTACAGTGGGCGCGTGAATCTGGCTGCTGCATGTCGCCAAGCCACGGTGTGTGCTCAGGAGGTGGCAGTTCTTAGAGGAGGTCCTTAACCTTGCTTTCCAGGGCACAAATGTAATACATCCTCAAGTCATATGGCAGAGCTTTTTTTTTTTTTTTTTTTTTTTTTTTCTAATAGGCCTATTTTGGGAAAATGGGCTAAAGAGTCCTAGATTAGCTTTAGTATTTTGGACACTAGTCCTACTTTTGTGCGTGTACCCAGATGAATTTATCTTAAAGTTTTGGTATAAATGCAGTACCTGGAGTTTTAAAATCACTGGATAAACAACAGCCTGTCTGAACATCTCCCAAGAATAAAGCTGGCAAAGGAAGGTTTAACAGCAGCTACTCTCTGGAATCTGAAGCCAGACACATTGAAAGTAGAAATCAAGTACAAATTTCTAATGGAGAGGGTGATTAACCACTTGAATGAACTAGAATGGATGGATCCTTGGTCCCTTGCTGGCTTTGAGGCAAGATGGCTTGTGGACATAAGTCAGGTAACAGGTTTTGTTTACCTTACACTGGCCTCACTGTAGAGAAGGTGAAAATGAAATGTAACAGCCCATACTTATAGACACGTGTGCACACACACGTGTGCACACACGTACAGAGTCCAGCTAGAAGACCTGACCGTTCTACAGACCTTAAGCTGTACATTAAATAAAAGACTTAAATTCTGAAGTTTTTTGTTATTTCTAGGAGATGATTGGTTTGTAATTATGCATGGGGTTGAGAGTCTGTATCCCAAATTCAGCAGTGGTAGAATTTCATTCTGAATTTCTTCACCATCCAATGCATCAGGTTTATTGGCAAGCTGAAACTTGGTTGTTGTGTGTTTCAGTAGCTGGTACAGTCACAGGTAATAGTGGTGGTGTGGTAGTGGGGCTTATGTCCTTAGGCAGATACCATGTTCAGCCACTGATACTATCCAGTGTGACTTTAAGCCAAGAATTTAGCCCCTCTGTTCATGTTTTACTTTTGACAAAATGGTGATATTTCCCTTCCCAAGGACAAAAGCTTTTAATTTGTTATTTGTAAAGCCCTTTTTAAGAACTTACCAAGGAACGTATTAGTGAAATACAAAGGAATGGCATTATTTTTTTACAGTGTGACTCACTCAGAAATTAAAAGGGAAAATTAATTTCTTTTCCAAATAAGTGATATCAGCCTCATCTTTACCAAGTGACTTTCTCCTTGCTTGTGCAGGGTGTTGTGGATCAGGGTGAACTATACTTCAAAACGTTTAATTGCATACACTGAGAAATGAAGAAAACTGAAGTGGATCCCAAGAATGTATTAAAAATCTGAACTAAAATGAGAATGATTTCATGTCAAGTGAGACAAATGTAGAGTTGATACTCCAGTGCTTCGCACTTCCACTTGTCCTTGGCAGCAAGAAAATGAGATTTTTAATATCTGAAAAACAGATTGCCATGAAGACTCATCCATTGTAAATTTAAGCTGCCTTTATAGCAACTTAAGCTGGGGACAAGATTGTTCATTACATCTGATTCTACAACTGTGGCCATGATTTCCATATTAATATTGAAATTTTTTTATTGTCTGTACCAGAAATAGGAAGGAGAGCTGGTAGTGTTTTCCTTAGGAGATAATGTATTTAATGAATAATGCGCAAAGGGCAAAGGTTTGTGAGTTCTTACTTGCCTATCAACTGTAGATAGTAGTGACACCTGCCTTTGCTGCTGTGATCAAACTTGCTTTGGTGCTTCGGTTTATGCTAAAAGGAGACTGAGGGAAAGAGGGATATTGATTAATGATTTCAGAACCGTGATTTGTTGGTGATGGAAGTTATGTTGTTTTGAGCTGAATATTTTTGAGTAAAACTATAGGCAAGGGGTTGCTTGTTTCCTGTCTGATGTGCCCTTAAATTACAAAAACATTTAATCAACTTTTACATCTGTATGGGGGCAGGGAAGGTATTTCTCTGCCACTGAACTTTAGACGAACGTTGAGTCAAAGCCTATTTGTAACCCTTTTCAATAGCAACTGTTCTGTTCTGGCATCAGGCGTAGGAAGCACTAGCTTCCTCTTCTTTCTGTGTAACTGCATTTGCTTTCACAAGTCCAGCTACCAAGGCAGACCTGAGGATTCCCCAACGTGCCTTACTGCTGGGCTCGCTCTCTGACAGTTTGCGATTGCATTCAGACTGTGATACTGCTGCCTCAACCTTTAACATAGCAGAAATGGAGAATTTCTCTTATTTTCTCATGAACTCTCTCCTGCTTATTTCTGCCAAAATGCTATCGGCCTCTGTCTGCGCTCACAGATCTGGAGTCTCTTGGAAAAGTTCCTTCTTCCTCCTCTGTTCACATCCCAGATTTGGTCTAGATCCTAATGGCTCTTCATTTATAACATCAGAGGTCTGTACCATTTTTTTTCCTCTTCCATTAGTATCACTAATATCATTGTCCTGCCTTTGTCATCTCACACCTGAGTTACTGCAGCCTTTTCTTTGGCTTTCTATCTCATCTCCTCGTGTTCCAGTTTTAATACTGCGTTTCATGATGATGGAAGGTGATCTTTCCTTTCCTTTGTGGATTTTGTTCTTTGCATCTTCCACAGTCCTCACCCTGGAAGCAAATCTTTCACTGAGGAGTCCAGTTCTCTATCATTAGCCTCTCTGACCTTCAGAAAGTTTGTATATGTTTAAGTCTATTTTGTTCCTCTTTGGAAAACAAAACAGCGCTCTGTATTAAACTCTAAATCTGGCAATAAGTCAACAGCATGATCTCATATTTTTTGTGACTGCTTCAGGGAATATGTTTTAAATGCAGTTAAGAAATTGAACAGAGGAGTGTTTTGGTGTAGAACTAAGTATCTTTAAAAGGTTTGGCATGGCTGACTGTGAGGGACCTGTGTGTGTCTTTTCCACCCATCAGTACTTCGGTGTCACGGCTTCTCTCCCAGGCCACAGTCCGTGACCTGTGACAGTCTGCTGGGACGGCTGATCTTGTCTGTGACCTTGCTCTTGGCGACCTCCTTTCCTGGAGAGGAAGAAGGCAACTCAAGACCTAGATGCAGGCCAAATGAATTGTTTTGGAAATGGCAGCAGCCAGCTCTCAGCAACTCCCCTCCCTGAAAACACCCAGCGCTTTCCTTTGCCACATCTGGGTGGGAGCGATCATGTGGGTCCAGGCTTCAACCCTCTGGGAAAACTGGTGGCCAGAAGCTTGACTGCTGCTACTTCTGGAAAAGCTCATTCAGCCCAGCCTTTTGCCCTGAGAGTTCCTAAGGGTTTGTGGGTTTGTTTGGTTTTTGTTTTTTGTTGTTTTTTTTTTCACGAAGGAAAAATAGAAAAAAGCCACACAGACGATGGTATAGTCTGTGTATGCCCAGTGGAATCCATCTGGAATAGGTGCAGATCTTCCTCAAAGCCTCTAGCAGGTGTGATAGAGTCACGCTACAGTGTCTGGGTCACCCTTCACCACTGAGAAGAGCCAGGATGTGTCTGTCCACAGTGCTTAGTTGCTAATATTACAGACATCTCTTCATGGAGCAGAGTAAATTATTCCATGCAAACCCCTGTGCTACCCTACCCGCTTGTTTTCTATTCCAGCTCTCATAAACCCATAGCCTGAAGTCTAAATATTCTCTCTAATTTTCTGTGTCTGCCTGGATATAACATCATGCCTTTCTCTTTCCTGTTAGCTAAAGTTTGACTTTTGAAGCACTTTCAGCCCATGTTAGTTTGTGGAGAAAGACATCAGCAGCGATAACTAAAGAAAATTCTATTAGGTCATTCCTTTTCAGAACATAGTACCTGTCTTCTAAGCTCTTTGCGGATGTTAGCCAAATAATTCTTTTAATAGCTTTTGTGAGTTAAAAGGGTAGGTAACTGTCATAAGGCTAAATGATTGCATAGATTAATTTACTTGTGGCCAAAAGAAATCAATTGTAATTTAAATTTTTGTCTCTGGACTGATTAGGCTACCAGACATCAACTTTCTCCTTAGTGATCTACCATGTTCATTGCAGTATATGTCTGTGATTATACGTGGGGTCTGGATTAGTTACAGATTATCCAGAGTAATGTGATTGAACATTTCCAGTTTTTACCCTGTGAGTTCATACAAGCTTAGAATATTCAGCTGGTTGGCCTTGTTTAGAGCTCTGAAGTATCCATTAATAACTTGTCGTTATAATTCATAGAGTGTTTGGATATAGAAGAATATTTGCCAGACTTGCTAAGACCATGGGTCCATTGCAAACCACGTCAAAGCTCCCACTGAGGACAAAGGGGAGAAAGAGGGTGAGGCTTTAATAGGCCAGTTAAAGAATAAATTGGAAGATGATAGAAGAAAATCCAGTGGTTCCAGGGAGCATTTTTCTTAACCATGGCTATATTTAGTGATTGGTATATATTCTACTGCCTTTTAGCAGAGGGATGGATTGGGTGGTTGAGAGGGGTCCTGAAGGCATCTGTCTTTTTTTTAGTGAGAAGTGATTTGCTGCTACTGCCTGGTGAAACTGCTGTAACATTGCCCTCTTTAAGCCAGTTGTATAATTGTCAGATAACAAGAAGTCAGAATGTATTTGCCTTTCGTAGAAATCTCTTAACGTTCTTGTATCTTTTCATTGTGTCTTACAGAATGGTGAATAACACTGAAGACCCTCAAGAGGCTTTATAACGGCCCATCCCCATGTAAAGTATGCTCAGAACTTTTCCAGTAGTGTAAGTATAAGCTAGAAAACACTACAAAAATTAAAAGTTTTATGTTAATTTGTCTACAAAAAGCAGACAAATGGTTTCCAATCAGCAGTTGGCTAAATTGAAGAGTTCCACTGGTTTTGGATTTTGCTAGACATTTAAACCAGGGAACATTATTTAATTGGTCACTTGGTCTGGCTGATATGTTAGTTCTACTTTTTTGTCACTGAAAGAGAAGGGAGATCATGCAGTACTTAAAATCTCAGCCTTGATCAGAGAAAAGGATAAAAAGAGAGATCTCCCTACATCCAGGGAACATACTAGAGGGTTACCAGAGCTGTGCAAGAGAGTTTGGCACCACGACAGACTTGGTGAAAGGAGATGAGTACACCATTAATGTAGTATTGTACAGCAAAGGCAGAAAACCTGGGGCATCTAACCTAACATTAGAACTGGATGTGTTGGTCCAAGGAACCACTGCTGTATGAATCCCATAGGAATTGAAGTTGTATAAATCTCATCCTTGGATTTGAGCCTATTAGTTTGTTCTTTTAAATGACTTCTGTCATGAATCTTCAACGTGATTGGTATCCATGCTGTTTCTTCACTAAATAAGCAAATGAATTCAAAGTTTGCAGCTTGTCAGGCTGAAAGGAAAGGCTTGACCTGTACTGTGCTGTCATCCATCTCTCACTGGCCAGTCCTATATCGCTGTTCCCCAAACCTCTTTTATAGGCACGGCCAAATGCTTGTCCACTGGCAATCAGAGACTTGAGATTCTTTGACTTCATGACTTTTGATTGCACCTTCTGTCCGACTGGGTTGGAAAGATAAATCCTATCTGCAGAACAGGTAGCAAGAAACCAGGCTGCTGTGAATGCAGTCGAATTTTCCCAGCTGGATTATTTCAAGGGTGAATATTATTCATCTAGCGCATGGACATTCGTAGTGCAAGTGGCAGTGCAGTCACAGTGTAGAGGGAGTCCCAGCAAAAAATAATGACTGTCGGGTTTTGTGTTGGAAACTAAACTACTAATGTATTTCAGAAAGACTTCTTGATACAACCATTAATTAGTTATTTGCTGGTGGCTTAGTCTTCTATTCAAAATTAGTGGTTTCCTACTTTGTTGCCAGTCCCCTGAGCCACCTCCTCTTCTTTCTTTTAGCTGGAGATATGTTGGATTTCAGTATTAAAATCACCACTTGAAATTGTAAAGATCTAGTTCACAGCAGGAAAGAAGTCTGGAGGTAAGGCCACGCCGCCCTGTGCGTCTTTATTATACTGGTAATTCAGAGTTTGCAGAGTGATCTTAGAGCTCCTCTGTGCTTTGTGTAAGCACAAGGACAGTCTGTCAGCTTTAACTTTGAATCAGACTTCTAACAGAAATTTCCAAACTGAACAATACAGTTTTAATTTCCTGTGCTTTAGCTGGATTTCAGTCATGTTCTGCCCCGTGCAGTTTTAGTTGGATATCGCGTTGTTCTCTTGCTTTCTGGGATGGTTGTGGCACATTGATGTGCCCTGTTAATCAGCGGCTACCCTCCATCAGTGAAGTAGCAGCTTTTTCGATTTATTCCATTTTATGTGCAGTTAGTATGGTCATTGAGAATGCAATATAAGTATAGGTGAATAATTTTGGACTGAGTGAAAGCTGGGGTGAACCTATTTGGAGCGGATTAGAGAGTATTAAATTAGAGGAAATGGAGCAAGATGACCCATTTAGGTATGAAGTTTCCAGATTAAACCATAGATATCTTTTAAGAAGGATAAGTGAGCATTGTGGTTTCAGAAGAAGAAAGAAGAAAACAGAGTCTTTTTTTTTTTTTTAAAAAAAAAGTTTTAAATTAAATACTGAATAAGATTAAAATTGAACTGTCTTAAAACTACCATGATTAGAGAGTAGTTTGGTTACTCTTGCCATGGGGCATCACCCTCTGTCAGAAGAACAAAGTAGTCAGCTGGCTCCAGTTACCATTTCACCTACCTAATTTATCTAGTTGGATGAGAGTCAGTACTTGAGAGGAATTTGAGGCATGGTGTGAACACAAGACTTTATTTTGGTCTCAGAAGAATTAGTCATTTATCTGAAACTAAGTACTTCTGTAGCCAATGCAAGTATATCTCTATTGGGTTCTCCATAAATATAATGGGAGTAATTACTTGTACTTCACAGGCTCATGGCTGTATTGATTGATTAATATGTGTTAATAATGAGATATGACCATCAGTATTTGTGTTGCATGTTTCAAACTCGCTCTCAAAATATGGTTTCTGATGGAACTAGACAGTTTCAGCATCATCACTTAAAGTTTACCTGAATTATCAGGCCAGTGCTTATGAATCTGACTGCCAGCGATGACAGAGCTGTCTTGGGAGTGAGTAAAAGCCTGCTGAGTGGAAAGAAAATCAGTGTAATGCAGATGAAAAAGGACTAGACTGAAGCCTTGTCATCATTTAGGAAGAACAACAAAGAAAGGAGCAAGTATGTGAACCAAGCTCAGCACACATTGAGGAACAGACAGTGGAGTTGCAGTGGCTTAGAAAGTCACCCCGTGGCTGAGCTGTTAACTGTCCAGTTTCCTTGAAATGTGACACAAAACATATTAATTAAACTTGGGTGAAAGAGGACTGAGCTAATTTGCTCTTTTTGTCTTCAGTGACAAGGTGTTGTGTAAATAGTTGGTGGCTGTAGGAATAATAAGTTGGCATTTTAAGCTTCTTTTAACTGAAACAGTGTCTTGTTTGAGCCATTAGTTTTACTTTAAGATAAACCAGATGAGTTAATTCATGATTTCACAGGCAGCTAAGCTTCTCTGAAAGGGACCTAAAGAAGCCTTGTTTCATGTGTGACTTTTAACACCTGCTTCTGCTTTTGGCCAAAAGGTTTGTCCCCATCTGTTGAGTTGGTAACAGCAATCGTCAGAGCCTTTTCTGAGCTAATTCAGCTTGTTAACCCAGGCAGAACCTTGCTACAGGTGGGTTGGTCGATTGATTTTCCTGCTGGGTTAGTGAACTGAACTGGTCTGTGGAGATTTCCACCATGTTCTGGAGTTATGCAGAAGAGCAGGTCGTAAGGTTGGTTCAGCCTCTCTTGTGCATCTTTAGTCTCAGGACTTGCGTCTGTAGGTGTTTGTCCTCCTGCTCTGAGTAGGGCACAGAAAGATTTGGACTTGCCCTGAGAATATAGACTGGCTCATCTATATGTCATGCAAGAGGAAATTTCCCTACTTGAGGTCTGGGCTACGCAAAGAGATGTTTGTTGCTTTAAGAGCATCAATTAGGATGTGTGTTTCTTTTTGAAATGCTTTTAAGTAAAATAAAACTCTGATGTGGAAGCAACTGTGGCCAAAAGCCCATGTTTTTGCCATTATGATTTATATTGTTGAAGAAGCCACTGTTACCTATTCCTGAGTTGTTTTCCAAGTATAATGTCTGTCTTCACGAAGAAGACTGTGTGCCAGTTAAACTGCACTTGCAAATGGTTTTCTAGTGGGAAAAAAAAATTGCTTTGTAGCTAAGCACAAAATTAGGGGTAGGTAAGTTTCAGTTATTTGCTGGGTTTGGATTTTACTTTTCTGAAGTAACGAATTTCTCTTAAAGTGTGTTGATTGTTACTGCTGGTGATAGATCCTGAGGGAGAATGAAAATGTCTGAAATACTTCAGGATGTCTCTTTTCCTTTATGTGTGGAAGAGAGGTGGTGAAAATCGTGGTGATGGCTTTCCTTGAAACTTATCCTACACCTTGTCACATCTAATGCTATAGATGGACCCTGTAGGATGGCTGTATGTGTGGTGAGAAAACGCTCAAAGTGTGCCCAGGCGCTTGATCTGCCTTCTTGGAGAATGCCGGTGTGACTTTGAACAAGGCATTTTGGCTTGTCTGAAGGCCGGCCCCTTTCTGTGAGTTCTTGGTCTTCAAAAATTAGCATAGTTTTACTTCTCTGCCTCACAGGGATATTCTAAAGAAAGATGTGTTTCAAGTATTTAGATATTCCGGCTAACAGAATTAATGCAGAAGAACTCTGAGATTCTGTCTGAATTTTAATAAAGGTTTGGTCGAATTCTGAAGTGAAGTGGAGGAGGCAGAAGACACTGGTATACCTGTCTTCGTAATCTTGACAGCTGAAATTAGGTGACTTGCCAGTCTGGTGTCTCAGTTAGGCCCACGTCTCAGTCTTGTTGCCACAATGACTCTGTTCTTCATGTTTCTTCTTTAAGACAGTATTTTGGTTGTGGGTGAGATTTGCTTAGCTGCGTAACTCAAGCTCACAAGTCCTGCCCTGATGCTGTTACAGAGTTTATATATCCAAAGTTTAGTCTTTGGCTCCCAAATCCAAGAGCTCCTCCTTTGCTCTTGGCACAGGTTTGGGCTTTGGGCCCTGGTTCAGCACTCAGCTGCCACTACAGCTTTTCTCTCTGTTAGTCCTTCCGATCCCTCATTCTGTCCTTGAATCCAGCCTCAGAGTTTGAATTCCTCCCTCGTTGCTGTAGAATTGGAACAATAGTTGGAAGTACAGATTTTAGAAGTAGGGAAGGTTAGGGTTAGACAGATAAGGTGTCAGTGTGAATCAGTCTGTGCCTTGAGTAGAATGCAGAAATATCTGGCTCCCAGCCCCCTGCTTAATCAGAGGTCAGTCCCTTTTGTAAGACTTGGATTATGACAATAATTGGCATTTATATTATATTTTTGCCTTGTAAGATCAATCTCAAGTTCTCTCTCTCCTTCCCAAAGATGTAAAGCGTCTACTATAAAGCAAATTACTCACCCAAGTGGAATCAGTGTCAAAACTGTGCTATTGTTTGCTTACCGCCAGCATCCAGTAAAAAATATTTTATCGGCGGTGAAGAATTTCAAAGACTGAGTGGAAGAAGAGCTTATGTAGAAGTAGTGAATCTGGGTTTGGGGCTCTTTAACTAGCTGAGAAACTTGAAGCCTCCTGAAGAAATGATATGTTGATATTCTGCTCTCAGCTTGCCTTCTATAATTTGTGTAGCGGTGAGTATTTGATTACGTTGGATTTATTTTCAGAAGTTTCAGGCTGCTCTTATTAATTGTCACCATTTTGATCGAAAGCGTATGGCAGTGTTCTGCATTCATAAGACAGTGTTTTGCATTCATAAACAGAACTGGTGACGTTTAACCTCGATAGATCAGCTTGTAGTCTGATTTCACTTCTTGCTGCAGTGTGAGGCTTTCGTTTCCCTGGGATGAGAGCAGTCATTACAAGCATTACATTTTGTTTGTGAATCAGGATGAATGGGAGTAGAGTCCTCTTTGAAAATCAGAACTAAGAGATGCAACTGCAGGAGATAATTATGCTAACGTATGGATAAGGATGGCTCTGTGTTCGTTGACATGATGAGCACTTGAGGCCTGATTTTTTTTTTTTCTTTTCCCCTCTCTCTTGAAAACTGGTACAACTACACTGAAAATACTGGAGTTGCAACTGATGAGCATAAGTGTTGGCTCAGATGAGTCAGACCCTTAATCCTGTGTTGCGCCCCAGAATTCATAGCATCAACTACTGTTTTGAAGGCAGCTTTGCTTAATATGGTGCAAAGCTTTGGGTGTTTCTCTGAAATATTTAAATTGGCTGTGAATAAAAGGAGATGCATTTGTTCAGTAAGAACAGCAAAGGCCAAAGCTTGCATTTCAGAGGACTAGGTAGTGTTATGCCCTAAATGCCCCAGTTTTGTGCCAGCAGTGCCTTAGAGCTGCACTTGTGCACTTGTGTCACAGTCTTTGCGTGTGCGTGGTGTGCACCGTTTACTTTGTGATATACATCAACCACTCCGTGGAACAACTGTAGCTCGGAATGAAAGCCTCTCTCTTGAGCATCTTGTAAGAACCAGCTGCATCCTTTGGGATGGGTAATGGTGAGTGAGATGTAGAAAAGGAAGGAGGAGTGAATGAAACTTTGCTTGGGTCCTTGGTTCTCATAAAAATGTATGGAGGGAGAAACAAGCTTGCATATTGTAAAGCGTGGTTAAAAAATTAACAGACTAGGCAGACGGAAGGGGAGTTTCTTGGTAGTCGTTGGTTCTGATAAAAAGCATTCAGTGATATTCGTGTGAATTAGGTTGCTGAATATCAGGTCGGTTGATAAGCAAATTATATTGCCTTTGGAAACAGCATTGCCATCATTAATACCCATTTTTGTTTGCTGTCTAGATCTGAAACCTCATGTAGAAGGGAAACATAGCAGCCCAGTCATGCCAAACAAGGATCCTTACACCAGTGCCTGG